GGTGTACTCCCACCAACAGCAAAGCCTCACTCCTACTTGTCATATTTCTTCAACGACAGCCTAACCACCATCAAACACCAAGGCAAGTAATTAGGGTTTCCTCAGGATTGCGAATGGCCAGCGAAGCACACCGAATGTGGAGCATCACCCGACCTTAATGGGAGCAATATTCTCCACCTTGCGTTATCTTGAATTTGGAAGGCCCTCCTGATTGCCAGTTCTTCATTCTACCTATTGGCAGTAGAATAGCATTTTAAGCTCCTTTAAGCTCACTCATCCCACAGCCCTTCAACTTAATTTGATGTGCCCGATTATGTTTTTAATTATAACTCAAGCTTCATGCTTTTTACCTTTTTCTAGGAACAGATCTACTTCTATGTGATTCTCCAATAGAGGCTTCTGTTTAATTGGCTTCGCTAAACAATAATAGCAGAGGGCTACCTTTTACTGATGGAGTAAAATATTCTTTGTACATGTTTAAAGCAGAACGAGATGGATTTTTTAAGCTGATGAAGTATTGAATTCCCGAAGATGGCCACTGGGAAATAAAGTCTCCATTTTCCCAGATTTCTTGGCTTGCCCCCCCTTTAATAAAATCAGCTCTCATTTATACAACCCTTTCTGGACGAGTTTTACTTAAAATTTTATGCCTTTCAAATTTAAAGAGAATAAGACGGTTGAAGAAGCACCATCTGAGGCCTATTGGAGAAGGATGATAAGGGTGAGATGGTATCACCAAGGCGGTGCATGCCCTTCCCCTCCAAAATAGTTCCCTTTTTAAGAATCGCAAATTAGGGGAGGAGCTTTTGCAGCTGTGTTCATCAAGCAAACAGGTGAAACAAACGCCATTTTTTCAAGGCTAAAAATAGGTAGCGATAAAGATTTCCTCAAGTTTGGACTGAGACACATCTTCACGTTTAACAAACCATGGCGTGTGTTTTACAGATCGTCGTTGCATTAGGCTGGGCTGAAAGCTAAACCCCGATGTTTTAATTGAAAGATACACAAATGCCCTGTGGCATGCTTTCATGGCTGAACGTCTAAAACCCCTGGGTGACATTTTCGGATTTACAGGAAGGATTGTGACCCAAATTTACCATTAGATGCCATTGACATTTTTTAAAGAGGCAGATTTTATTGTCTTTGTCTTTATTGGGAGCATGGAGCTAGATGTTTTAAAAGGTGAAGGAACACATATATGCATTATAATTGCACCACACCATTCCCGTTACCGTTTGTTTAGAATAGTATCGGACCAGTTATGATGACTCCCTGTGTAAAAATTTAGGTTGTCAGTTTGTCTAGCCTGCAACATGATACACGTGAACATACCTGTCAACAACTAGGCACAGATCATGTTTTAATGCACTGGATCCACTCCACCATTTGGGTCGGGTTCATGAACATGAGGAGCTTTAACAGGGTGACCCATATTCAAGCGAAGCCGAAAAGTAGTGTACCACATCTCTGATGTGGAGTTTTTTAACAAAGCCCTGCTAGTGCCGGTATCAGATATCCCTGCAAGTGTAAATACAGCGGACTCTAAAATGATATTTTTGACGTAGAAGTGGATTGAATGACCTTGGCTCAAGTTGAGACGGTTGCCAAATTTGGATGTGGAGGTTCATTTCGTTATCATGCTTTTTGTGAATCTCTGATGATTGAACAGAGGAATTGGAAATGGGTGGACTGTAAGTGCAGTGATTTACGATGGGTAGAAAAGTTAAAAGCTGGTTTAAATATGGTCGGATAAATCCATTAAGGGTAACAGCAATCCAGGATAAATGATTGCATTTAGGAGGAGTGTATTACCGATAGATGGGTTGGATAATGTTCAAATGGATCAGGGGCAAGTGACTTGATCAAAGATGAATGAATGAGTCAAGGCAAAAGTAGTTGGTGAATCGGACATTGATTGATAACCAAAGGATGGATGGACAACAGGGAGCTTAGGTGTTGATCAAGAATGTTGAATAATTGAAACTTAAAAAATTTTTAACAGATTAGAGCTGAAAACCAGAGAAGGATGATAAATGAGTCTTAGACAAGCAGATGCGAAGAAAAGAGTTGAGGAATGAATCCGAAACGTGTGCTTGGACTTAAGATGAAGAGATGGGTGAGACATTGGTTAATGGGTCGTCAAACTACAAAAGACCAGTGCATCAAGATAACGGTACTCCGACTGCCTGCCAATACAGTTATTTAAGCTGCTTCCATTGGCCTTGATCACCACCGACGTGGCATCATTGTTAGAAATTTATGTCACATCAACCAACTGCATATCTTCCCTTTTATGGACTCAGTTAAAATTCTTTCCAAGCTTATCCATCCTACAATGTGGTCGAACACTACCGAATCAGATTGTTGCCTTTTTCTTGACACGTCAGACTTGTCATTCTCTACAACGAAGACCACCTATCAGTGTCACAAGAGTCATCGATGCTAAATGGACGACTCCCTGCCGCAATCTGTACGGTCTCGTTAAAATGCACAAATGAGACACCAACATGACAGCAAGTTACTTCATTTTATCGGAAATTCTCAAAAATACAGCCATCCACCGACCAATGGCTGCTGTACTGGCCTACTGTCCACAGAAAAGGCTTGTCAACATCACACCCTTGTCCATGTGCATGTATTGCAAGGCCTAGATATGCCTAAGTCCATTAGTATTGGGGTGGAGGTGGGAATGGGTTCCCTTCATTGGGCCCCCTTCAATTTTCCTGTCACTCTAAAGTCGCATGCAGAAGATTTCCGCTGACGTGAGTCGAGCTTTTCCTCCATAGCTACAGGAGGCTCCTGTGGTGTGGAGCCTTTGGAGACGGTTGGTTCTGCGGTGCCACAATTTAGAGGTCAAAGCCAACTGTCTATGCCTTTGACGATGCATGATGCTTCGAAAGAATAAAATGCTAAACACTTTCAGTCATGTCCAATGTGAGTAATGGTGAAATAATTCACCTGCGTAGACAGAAAAGTGAAAAAATACACTTTGCCCGGTGAGCATCGAAGTCTTTCAATTTGTTCCTCACCACTTTCAAGTATTCAATAAGTGTGCCGTTTGAAAGAGGGTTACTTGTTGAATGGTCGACGGACAGAATTGGCTTTTGTACTCCAAATTTTTTTAAGCTAATTAGTGTTTCGGTGGTTGTCACCAAGTAATCCCCTCCCCGGCACTATACCTTTAGGCCATGGACCACTTCATTCTCAGAAGACTATACATGCTTTGTGAAGTGTGTGCATGTGTTTGATACACTAAAGACGTAATTATTCACCTGTTGAAAGCCAAACAACAAGTGCTCTTGGGATCAGCCTACTGGAATTAATATATCTTGTAAGTGTGTAGGAAGAACTTCTCACTTACCTCCAGAAGGAGCCTGGAATGGGATTTTAAAAGGACATCACAAGCCCACCTAACTCATGCTTAACAGAGCCACCTTTTCCTGTGAAGAGTACAAAGATGTCTATCCAACCTTATCCTCCGTATTCACCAGAGGACTGACATATTTTTTATGATATCATTATTTGATAACCATCTAATCGCATTACGAAATGGAAGTTGGAGGTAGGGAGATAAAGGGCGGCTGGGGTTCGGTTCTATGCTCCCATGAATGGAATGCTTGATAAAGTGAAGTTTAAACCTAGAGTTGAATGGAGATTTTGACAATAAACGACCAGAAGAATAAAGCAGCTCTGAGGCAAATATACCTCAAAATTTAATTATCCCTTTTACGAAACCTCCCGAATTTAGTTCCTCGCCTTGTCCTTCCATCTACCCATTCATCCATACAGCCAGCTAGCCAGCCGGCCATCTTTTTTCCTGGAGGCACAAATGATTGATCAACAATCCTGAAAATGATATCCTGAATTGTTGTTTTTTGATTTTCTGCAAAAGTTCTTATGCAACGCATTCTGTACGGAAAATTTACTTCTTGAATAAGTTCCTCTGGTCCCTATACGTACTTTCTAAACAAGCTCCCCACCCCCAGTGGACTTCATTTGGGATATTATGCTTCCAGTGACATTGCAGACCTCTTTGTGTTGTCATTACTTCATCATATATATATGCCCAACTAATTTGGCGTAGACACTTAATTCATTATTTTGTACCTTTTGTGGCATTTATAGTCTAGGTCCTTTGACCATTCTGTTCAATTCTACAACGGAAGTCAAAAACTTTCAGGAGCTGTCGCGTTGTCATAGCTACTCCCCTATCACCAGTGGAGTGCTGACTGCACTCCACTTCGTCTTGCCTGATTATTGCAAGGGTGAGCTCCTTCTTTTTGGTGAAGTGAATGACATTTTGGAGGATTGATGGGTTATCTTTAGGAAGAATACGGCGCTGATAATATATTGTCAAAGTACAATAAGATGGGGGTATGTACTGAGGTATGCAGTGAGCCAATATACTGTAGGGAGCGATAAGTTCGGTTTGTACTAAAAGAATGAACTCCAAGTCCCGGTATGACTGGTAAATCAAACTGCACAAATTTTCAACGCTCACTTCTTCAACTAAGAGACTTCTACGCTTGACAAGGCAAGGAAAAATGATCTTTTTGCTTGTCATCATGATGAGGCTGCTACAACCACTCGTAAAAATTTGTCTGTTTTAAAAAGAAAACCATGTAGAGCTTTCATGAAAGTTTAACTGAAATAAATGCTAGCGGGAGAGGAGGTGCAGTAGCAGCAGAGGTTGGTCGTGTTTAAGCTTGTCATTTGATCACTTTTGCAGTTTATGATAAAATTAATGGTCGAAAGGCCGATTAAGGCTTGTTTTCGTGATGTACTTAACGAAGCGGACTTTTAGACCCCCCTGTTTTAAACCACCATCTTGGTGTCATGGTGCCGCGACCATATCTACAGCCTAGTAATCTTTTTCCATACTAATAGGCATCCCTCCTTGCCACGATTTTTGGAAAGACTTGAGCAACTAGGTTATGATAATAACGAGACCTTTCGGCTATTAGGATAGGCCCAGCCATATTCCACCTTCCAGAACGGGTACGTTGTCATAAAAACAACTGTTAAAAACACGATCTTTTCACCTCTTTTGCACGAAATAAATAAACAGTTTATTATCTTGCACCTATTAAGAAAAAGCCTATTAAGTAAGCCATGCGCAGGCTAGAGAAGTTCATTTACATGCATCAGAATCTGACCTCAGCAAATGATTCAGCTGTAGAGAGACGTGTTTACATAGTAAAGGTCTCCACTGCCTACTAGAAGTCAAAACCTTGGGGTGCCGGCTGGCCTACCCTCAGAAAACTTACGCCCTCTGGACCAATCGGCGAGTGGCAGTATTAGTCACGCCTGAACGCGACACGCACACGCACGCACGTTCGCGAGCGCACTGTTTGAAAGTGGACACCCTCATTTTGGCCAGGTGGCTATCGCTGGCTTGCAGGCACACAGCAGGCCAAGGGATCTGGTGGTGTCGCCTTCCAGTGGAAAAAGGCATTTAGGACTACTCAACTGCTGGTGGATTACTACCTCTTCGTGTACGCAAAGTCATTAAAATAAGGTTGGTTCCTTTACCCCCTTGGTCCGCCTTACTGACCAATCGATGTACTGAAAATGGAATTACTTTTTTCCTTCTTTAAAATTTCCCCATTGACTGGTAATTGGAACTCTGAGTAATGCCAAAGTGGTATATATTTTTTCGTTTGAGACGATTTAATAAACAAATCATTGTCTTTTATTTTGACAGATTTAAGGACCCAAGTCAGATACGTGAATTTTAAAGTGTTTATAACTTGTGAATTTGTAATATAAAAATTTGATAGTTTTAAAATCCTAAATAAATCCCTGTTGGGCAGCAGTGATCGGGATTTTGTATTAATGGATTCCCTTTGTTTCTGTTAACACGTTCTGTAAGAGCATCTCGGAGGCAAATCGTCCATCCTCTAGCCAAGATCATTCTACATTTACTTTTTCTGTCTAATCTATTCACGACGTAGTTTGTTGCAACCATTTATCAAAAAATGATGAAAAACACATGTCGCACATTTGGAAGCGTTAAGGCAGATGAGAAAACTGGAGCGTCACACATAAGTGACGCTGGAGGTGAGCGTGCTAATTGCTCCGATTCTTTTTTCAGATACAGTTGGCTTCAAGGTGCTTTGTTCATGCCAGTAATCTGATGATTTCCGGTATATTTTTTTCCCGGTGCAGTTAATAAAGATCGGATCCCGTTTGAAACGAAGGAGTTGTTTATCAAACCCTTTTCTATCCAGAAATAATGGTTCTGCACATTCTTCCGGGAGAAAATAGGTGTTGCATAAGTGTGAATTTGGGTAGCGACTCATCTGGGGCTAATCGGAGATGCCATTTCCCATCAGAAGTTTGGTTAGCTTTCCATATATGTGATTGGGATCTATTTGATTGGCTTCCACCAAGACTTGTCCAGTTGGGATAACTCGTTACTCCCGAACTAATCTGTCAACAGCTGTGTAGTTCTACGGTACTAGAAATATTTAGGGCGGCTTTCTGAAAGTAATGCACCTTTAAACGCAATATCACCAGAATGCAATAATTTAACCATTGCAGAGTGATGCACCCTGGTATCGCATACCGCATCACCTCGAAATGCTTATTCAACAAATGCTGCACAGTAAAACTCCAATCCCACCCCCCAGATTCGACTGATATTCGACAAATATGAGTTTAAAATAAAGTAGATGACCCGACTAAGAGTGCTGCACCGATGAGCCGACTCCAATTTACGCCTAGTGGTGGGTGTATACAAGCAACTGCCGTGCCGAAAATCGCATGAATTCCATCACCTGTAGTATTTTTGCAGTATTTTAAAGATATTTGTAAGTCAATATTATCTGCATGACCTGTTTAACAAATCACTCAACCTCATAGCCAAGGCCCTTGTCGCTCACGCTATGCAGAATTTGGGTGCCAACGAACCAGTAGCGATCCTCCCTCTTACAAGCTGCAAATAACGCGCCCAATCAATTACCTAATCTGATGTCGCGATCTGCCCGCTATCTTTGCACACGATCAGCACGGTGCTTCATAGATTACTTAAAATAAATTGTCAATGATGTAGGACAATTGTTTTCCCCTCTAGAATCAGTATTTTTTTACTTTACATTTACCGGGCGAACTGATTTAACTAAGCCTTAACAACGTGGGGTATGTTTTAATTAAAGGTTACAGGTGTGAATGTAGTTAAGATTTTTTGCCGCGAAAGCAGTCAAAAAGTCATGCCATTTGTTTTGTGAAATTAGTCGCCTATTTTAGTTTGCAAAATTGCATTCTTTTTGGGCTGACAGAAGGCAGAAATGGTCGACACAACATTTACTCGAATCTAGGCTAACGAAGACAAAAGCTGTTCCGTTTGGCTTGAAATACGGGAAAAAATGGCAAGGAGATGTCCAAACACCGGGCCAACTGATTCTGCAGCACTATGACGGGCCCGTATGCGATTGGAGGATATATATATATTGTTTAAATAAATAAAAAGTAAATTTAAAGACGTTCGCGCGTGGGTTCTGCAATTGTTCCCAATTTCTTAATCATCCGGTAGAAAATGAGGACTTATTTGCTTATTTAACCGAAAATAATGTTTGTAACTGCACCCTTCACCTATTTGACGGCCTGCCCGATCGGAAATTAATGTCCAGAGTCGGATCGAATGCGAACTAGTTCTTGTTTTAGACTGTGACATGTTAGTAATATGTTTAGAAGCACAAAACAAAACTGTCATTTAAACAAGTGGCTAGAATGACCTGCTTCTGGGGTGGGTTAACCATCACGGATGCTTAGACGTCTCCCTGTTTCCTCGCAATAACGAAAAACATGGGGTCTCAATATTTACCAAAAAGTGGCTAGGACAATCCACCAATGCAAGAACAGTACCATTTTTTTGGCCCTACAAGTAAATTTGGACATTTTTAAGGAGTCCAACTACTATATCATATTTGGATTGGTGATACGAACGTTTGATCATGTGATCATCGCGCTAAGTTCTGACCTTGGAGGTGTTCATTAAGTCAGCAAATCGAAGAACAAAGACTGGATCATGCTCTTGTTGTTTTCAGTCCAGCTAGCAGTAGCAAATTGTTGTGAAGTTGAGATATGTGTCAGCCTACCGGTGGCACCGTGCTCTTCATTGTGTTCCCTTATTTCTACTCCCTTGCCAACAAGTGTCGATTGGACCTGGTGGAAGTGATTCAAGCCTACTTGCTTTTACAAATTCGTCAAATGTTTGTAGCATTTGGCGAAGGTACAGTATGCGGTAGTAAACCCTGACCTCCGGAAACAGTCGGATTTGATGGCGAACAATCCTCCATTCTTCATTAACAAGGACTAATTATGCGTCGATTTTGGCATGAAAAGTAAGTAATGCGATAATCACGCATCAGATAGGAATTTCCCGTCATGTTCAACGTAAAGGGGGCGGGGGGGGGCCAATCAAATAAATTCCGCCCACACGCATTAATAGATGGCAGTTTGTTATCCTCTGCTCCTTTCGCCTCATAAAAACACGATGTTTGTGAATTGCTTGATGACTCAACCTCCTGACAGGAAGTGGCTCTTGTACTTTAGCGTTAGAATGTGATGGTCTGTGGAATGTAAATTTCTTGCTACAGACCCAACAAAGGCACTCAAAATCCATCTTCTCCATGTAACTCGAAGTTTATGCGTGAAACCTTCATTTGCATCTCTGCCGTTTTCTTCAAAAATTACCAGAACTGGTCAAGCGGTCAAAAGAAGTCCGTACTCCTACTCCTACAAGACTGCAATACCTCGCATCCCACAAGCTACACACGAGATCTCTAAGAAGTTAAACAGAAAGGCTTTAATATTTTGCGAAAATGTACCCAAACTAATAGTTTATTTCCTTCCCTGCAGCTGCTAAGACAGCCATATTCCCGAGCAGTAGTTGACAAAGTTGAACTTCTGAAGTGGCTTAATTTAGGGGGACGTAAATGAATCGCTTTTCTCGCTTCTTGTCCAGATGCCGAAGGCTTCCAGTCATGGTCGAGGCACCAGCATCACTGCATCCAAATCCATAGTTTGCCAACAGACATCCACCAAAACCACAACAATATCGGCAAATCTGATTCGTGCAAGGTCTTCCACCATCCATGCCAACAATTCCACATTTACCACACGATCTTCTACCCAGCTAAATCACAACGAAAGTGCAATGAGTAGCTCCCTACACATTACAAAGACGTCTACGCTCTTAAGTCCTCCTTCTGGTGAAAATAACTCCAAATCAAAGACTTCTCCATGGTTCTGGCAACGTAAAAATACATCAAGAAATTCCCTAGTCCGTTCTGCATCGGCTAACAAGGCAAATGAAGGAGGTGCGGTTGGTGCTGGTGGATGGAAAAATAATAGAAATTGTGAAAGACCTTCAGGTGATAAAGCCTATGAGTCAGAGACGTCTACTTTGGGTTCGACGATTGCAAATGATGGTGCGTCAGCTACTACAAGGAATCAATCCATCATTCGAAGTGCTTCTACGAGGGAAACGAAACCCACTGGTGGGTTTTTGGTAAGATTTTTTTAAAATGATTGAGTTTACCCACAAATTCCAACAGCTGGATAAATTAGCCAATTATTGGCAATAGTTTAAAGCTGGATAGTTGGAAATGTAATTGCTTCGAGCAGTCAATGTCTAGTGAATGGGTTCACCTTTAGTGAAAGTGTGAAAAGAGCCTTTTTTCTTAGTAAAAATAGGTGGCGAAATTCAGTTTATTCCAAAAGTAATTTTCTCATAAAAAGGAAATATTTAAAATGAGTAGTCTAAGTGAGCCATTGATTAGTGTCTTCTCCAATCAAATACAAGCAGCACTTGATCCAGGTTTCTGATTGGTCAGCAACTGGCTAATCACAAACCGAATTCGGTAAGAAACGAGCTATTCAACTTGTGATTTGTCATTTTTGAGGGCAAAAGCAACAAGTATTTATATTATGGAAGAATAATAGAAAGATAGACTTAATATTAGCACTTTTTAAGGAAAAAATTACGTTTGAGTCCATAAAATTCATTACAAGCAGGAAATGCGTTTAATGAAAATATCGAAACACGTTTTAGTGGATAGGGCGGCCGATTTTCAACCGTAAAATGCTCCATTTAGAAATAATTTCACAATAATTTCACTACCTCATTCTTCATTTACACACCAGGTTCTGATTCATCAGGAGAGAAGCCACCAATAGCATTCAAACATCTAACTTTCGATATTATAGTAGTGAATGTCTTTTTAGCGATTTCTTCGTGTTAGCTTCTCTTCCCGTGCCAAAAAGCCAAAGGATTTTGGACCTGGTACTCCTCCACTATCGATGACCCAGTCTGGATTGGGAAGTCTTGCCGAAAGGCAGGCCAGTATTGCAAAGGTGTTTGCGGATCCGAATAATCGCCTTTCGAAGTAAGTGATTTTCTTCTTAATCAACTTTGTTTTTTCACCACAGGGAAGAGACTCAGTAATTTTCGTAGTAGAGTATGCGTAGACCACTCTTCGATGAAGTCTCCTGAGATATGCATCTGCTGGTCACTTCTTTTGTATTCTCTTCCCCAACTCCAACAGGGTGATCAAAGCTGGAAAGCAACTTATGAGAGACCACATCGTCGCTAGTAGAATGTGAATTACAAGTAACCTGAGCTAGGTTTATTCACTCCAGAAATTCGAGAGAGAGAAAAAGAAGTGGGCGAGGGGGCCAAAAAACAGTAATAATGATTTCTGAAGAGGTTTTTACTCATTTTCATAAGGGATATTTCAGTTATCCAAAAAAGGTCTCAGTTTTCTTAAAACAAATGGTCAATTTTTTTGGCTATGGTAAGTGGGTGGGGCTGTTGGCTTTATATTTTAAGTTTAAAATAGCTTGCAAAAAAATTTCACAGATTGTAAATGTCAAACATTACGGTGGTCATAAATTTCTCTATTCTCCTTCATATTTTCTTCACCACTGATGGTTTATTGTATTAGGCCTTTACAATTCAACCAATCATGGGATCGTAAATATTTTGGATAAGGATTTGGCCAATTGGAGACCCGCTTCACAGAAAGTGAAGAACTGGTGTAGACAATTGTTTAAGCGTGCGTAGAAAGGTTTAATTTAGCCCGCCCATTCAACTCTCCCCCAAATTCTCCAGGTACTTGGGCTCTTTGTATTGAGGAGTCGGTTCAACGGTTACCTAGTCACAGCATGTGTTTGGACATTTTAAGTCCTCACTTTGTCACTTTCCAACCTCCCAATGCGCTTGTAGAGACAAATCTGGAGAGAGAGAAAGGAGTCCTCTCTATACTGAGCGCAGCTGGTACGCCATACGCAGTTCTATTTTGTAGTTGCGTGTAAGCTTCACAGACATTACAGCAGGGTGACAACTGTCACCAGACTGTAAGGACAGCCAGGCTTTCCAGGCAGATGGAGTCACATGGCACATTCAGACACACCACATGGTAATTCTTGCAAAATATGCTTATAAAATCAAGTTTTGGAAAAAGGGAGAAAGTCGATATCCTCACGAGGTATAAAAATAAAAAGCTAAAATAAACATGAAGCATAGAGGTGGATCATGTTTCATGGACAGGCAGTGAAAACATCTGCTACATTATGCAGGGTTGAAGATAGGGGATATCCACTGCTTGCCAATCCGATTTATGATCATCAGGTACCTGGATCTACCATTTTAGATGTGCATTTGACAGCCAAATCGGTGAATTTTTTCCATGAATTACGTGGAATCGGTGGGAAAAAAAATACCCGCTTGGTAATTTCCCGAAGGAGGGCAATTTAACTACTTGAATCTAGGTTGACTGCAAGCTACAGACATAAAATTTTGAAGAGGAGGAGGCGTAAGTGGCGGAGAAATGAAGGAAGAGGTAGAAAGGAACCAAAGCAACAGCTGTTGCTTTGGTGCCCCTACAAATGCAGTGCATGAGTCAGCATTGAATGCCCCTTTGTCAGGTTCAATTTCTCCCCTGCGTTTTATGTTCCTGGAATCCTTTTACCTTTTTCTAATCTGTCTTCCCTTTCCTCCTCTTGCCTACCCTCGAATGTTGAAGGGGATTAGATGTGAACTTCGGTGTCTCTGTGTGCACAGATGGGAACGGACCAGTGGGATAAAAATAAATTGAATTTTAACATCGCTGCACGTAAGGTAGGGTAATACAAGCAATATGAGGGAGGCCCAAGGAGCTTAAAATGCTATTCTACTGCCAATAGGTAGAATGAAGAACTGGCTTCCAAATTCAAGATAACGCAAGGTGGAGAATATTGCTCCCATTAAGGTCGGGTGATGCTCCACATTCGGTGTGCTTCGCTGGCCATTCGCAATCCTGAGGAAACCCTAATTACTTGCCTTGGTGTTTGATGGTGGTTAGGCTGTCGTTGAAGAAATATGACAAGTAGGAGTGAGGCTTTGCTGTTGGTGGGAGTACACT